AGTTCAAAAATCGATCTATATTTCAAAGTCGAAAAACACTGGTAAAATCGATCTGTCAGAGTCATGTTATATATCAATCGATAGCCAGCATTTTTCTCTACATGGCTACTGGATCCAGAATACATAAAATACAAGGTCAGTCGCTACGAAGAAGGAGAAGTCTTAGCGCGCATTATGCGAGCAGTGCTCGGCACTCCACGCCATGGGATGACTACGTCATGACGAGCGATGTTCGGCACTCCATGCTGAAGGGTTAAGTGGGGGTCTATCTTGTTTAAAACAAAATTGAAAATCAGTTGTAAAAGAGCATTTAAAAAGCAATAAATACAATGACAATATATTCAATGTATTAACATAAATCAAACAATTTTAGCCTGAAAACAGGTCTACGGAGGCCAAAATCTTGATTGGGAAGAAGAAGAAGACAAATCAAATGCTGCTAAAACCTCAAGTTTGCAACAGAATGTCATTACTATCCACTGGAATCCTTTTCATAAATTTTATATAAAATCCTTTCTGTTATTAGTAAATGTTAAAAAATTTAAGTACTGTATGACTATAAACCGCTACGGTGGTCTAGCGGTTAGAACGCTGGCCTTGTAATCCTGGGGTCTCGGGTTCGATTCCCGGCGGTGCCCGAATTTACAACTTGTGTTGGGCAAGGCCGTGGTCTAGGCAACACGGAGTTTTCCTCCGGGGGCTTCCCCGGTTTCTCCGTGGCATTCCAACAATTACTCCATTCACACACAGAAGAAGGCAATGGCAAACCACTTCTGGATCATCTGCCAAGAACGTATATGAACAGGTCCCAGTCCGAGAAGAGAAGAGAAAAGGATAGAAGGATCCTGTTCATATGGACCTGTCGTCAGACAGAACACTAAATAATAATAAGATGACTATAAAGAAACTTACATATCTACAGTGAAACCTCTATCCATTCTTCCCCGACCTATCGTTTTCCAGGATGCATCGTCTGTTTTGTTAGGTCCCTGATACGTCCCATATAAAATAACGTTACATTTTCCTGCTTCTATCGTTCCTCGAACTATCGTTTTATCTCATCGATCGTTCAAAAATCTTAGTCCCGGCCCACAATTTTACCGCAATGATCGTTTCTGAGAAATTATAACGAAATTTACGCGATGTTCTTAGAATTTAAAATGCTGGGTTTTGGGATAAAATAATACCGAAAGACGGGTGCACTCATATTTCGTTCCAGCGATGCCAGATGGCATGTGCAGTGTGAATTTCTTCACAAATGCTTTTATTATAAGTACAAAGGAAAGGCCGGCGACACTTTTCATTCTTCTGGTTCATCTCGTTTCCAGTGGTTCAGTGTTTCTACAGCTACGTTTCGTTGAGTTCGGCAGTAATAGTATTTCCAATCTTCCTGTTATTGTCAGCGAAGGGGGTGGGAGTGGTGAGGAAGAGGAAGACGACGATGCGAGCCCGAAACTGTGCAGAGTTTTGCCGAAGCATTGGCAAAAGTGAAGTCGTTCTTTTATGCGCATAATATTAGTGAACGTGATGAGGAAAACATTTTGAACGTGGAAAGGGCTCTGTTTGGCCTAAAACGTAAAGTTTCGACAAACCAGTTGTCCATTAAAGAATTTTTTGGTAAAAAGAATTAACTTCGAATGAGAAACATTGTTTTTTAAAAAAAATTAATGCTTTCCCGCAACTATCGTTTTCCCGTATTCATCGTTTTTATTTCCCACTCCCGCCAAAAATGATGCATCGAGGTTTCACTGTATTACATTTGCGTGTTTTTCTTTCATTTTTGTAATTATCTGGGATTCTGATTATCCAAGAAAATATATTTCCCAACCAACATAGATAATCAGAAGTCTACTGTACTGTATTTACATTACTGAATGGGTAGGCTGATCAAATTAGAGAATGTGCCAGGCTTAGCTACTGGATCATGAACAGAAAGCAGAAGTATGGACGATGTAAATGTGTCCACCTCGTCTGCATAATTACGATGCAAAGGACTTATTTAATGCAGATGAGTGTCGGTTATTTTTAAACTTTTTCCCGGACAAAATATATGCTTTCTAAGGTGAAAGCCGTCATAGAAGTGAGAGAAACAAAGACAGAATTACCGTAATTCTATGAGCAAATATGGATCGGAAAGATGCCATTGCTGGTAATCATAAAATCAAAATACCCAAGAGGCTTCAAATATGAAGTCAAAAATAGCAGTAATACACAAATGACTCTCGATATATATCTTTCATAAAATAAAATTTCAAAAAAAAATTGCATTTGAAAGCCACTGCATGTATAAAAGAATATAATATTAAGTTATGCACATAAATTTATATTTCTGTTTCATTCTTTTCATTAGCAACTCACATTTTAATTCTAGGTATTAGCACACTTTGGGATAAAATTAAATTTGTAAAAATCTAAAAGCCGGCCCTTTTAAGTAGTCCATATTACTTGGCCCCTTTGGAAACTTCAAAAGACATTCACTACAGTCGGAGAAAACAATCAGATGCAGAAAGAAAGTACGTTCACGGGGGTGAAGAACACTCATTTAACACACGACTGCTTTACCTTTTCCTTGACGTTTTCAAAGGAAGATGGCGACACAACAGAGAAACACACAAGGAACACATCTGTCTGCGGATAACTAAGGGGGCGGAGTCGATCATAATCTTCTTGACCTATCACAAACAAAACAAAATAAATGTATATACACATTTCGTAAAGTTTTCTGTCTTCTGGGTTCTTGCGCCGTGTAGTCTGGTCGATGTTTACCAACATTTCAGAGGTCAAACTGCCTCCGTCATCAGGGCAAATCATCGATGAATCTACACGCTCTACAACCCAGTGTGATTCGTTGCCACCTCCTTTCAGAAGTTTCTTAGTCTTTTAAGTGTGCATTTGTGAGTAGTGAGAGTGAATAGCGCACTGCCTCTGCACAATTTCTATTAAATCCTGATTTTGTGCCAGAGCCGTCTAGTACAGAATCAGGAGAGACATGGGTGAGAAACGGCGACTGAATTTTCCTTGTGAAGCATCTCGTTCATGCTCGTAAGGTTCTTTCACATGCAGTAAATCTACGACGTGGGACTGCCAGCTTTATTTCCCTTCTGAAGGAAGTTGTGGTACGGATTTCTATCACCCTCAAAAATCCTTCAACATCTCTGAACTCTCGATCTTTGGGTCCAGTGGTGAGCATGCTAACCACTAGTCCACCGAGGGTGATCAAATTATTCTTCCACTTATGACAGAGGCTGCAAACTTAATTTGAAACCTAGAGCAAGGTATCACGGATGACAGCAAAGATCATACTGCTTACAAATCTCGTTTCCCATACCCTAGTAACAGAAACAGAAAATATTTGAAATTTGAGGTTTTCACGATGGTGCTTAACAGTAGCCGCTATTATTCAGCACACACAAGATCTGCTACTTCATAGCTTTAATTTGATACATAAACCACTGCAATTGTTCTTAAACAAAGAAGTAGCACAAGCAGAATCTCTCAAAATAATTCAGGCATTAACACGGGTTTCTTGCCCACAGTAAATTTAACCACTAGTGACAATGGTATTGAAGTCCATTCTGCTTTGTTGTCCCGCAAAACCATGTTAAAACTCCAACAAAATCCAACGTAAGAACACGTCTTCATTTACCTGCTGTGTCAAACAGTCCAAGCGTATATGGTTCCCCACCGATCATAACCGTAACAGCATAATTGTCAAAGACCTGGAACAGAACATGTCAACTTTTAGATTTAAATATTATTTCATTTTACCCCAAAGATGGAGGAGATTATGTTCCTCCAAAATGTACATATACAATCAAAAACCAGCAAAGTACAACAACCCACAAGATTACCATCTAAATTGATTCCACGCTAATACATGACACGCACAATCCCTGTTACAAGCCTGAATTGTGCGCCTGGTCTCTGACTACAAAGCACAATTAAACAGTACAAGTAATTTTACACATCAAACTATTTCAATTTCATTGTACATTTTCTGATCCATCCTGTCTCAGAACAGAACATATAGGAGACTCCACACAAATTTACGTTTCACGTTTGTAGCACTAAGTCAGTGCTATTTTACGGAGGCCTGAAGTGAAAATTCTGTGGTTAGAGTCCAACAAAAATTCCATAATTTCCTTTACACACAGGACCAACAAAAAATACTGTCTGGAATTCTGTTTAGCAGTATAGAGAGATAGGTAACTTAGTTTATTAGTTAAAATCAAGTTGGACACTGATCAATACGTATGCACACTTGATGTGATGGGTAAAGCTACAAAAACATAACTGAGATAAACTAAGAAAACTTCGCAACGTCTATCATTACAAATGAATATGCGCTACAGCAGAGCGAAAAAGATTTACTACTCTGAATCATCAGCACATTCTTCAAAGAATCGATCGTAATCAAATCAGCTGACAGCAGCATTGTGATGTTCTTATTTTACATTGTGTAATGTCTAGGCAACACGGAGTTTTCCTCCGGGGGCTTCCCCGGTTTCTCCGTGGCATCCCAACAATTACTCCATTCACACACAGAAGAAGGCAATGGCAAACCACTTCTGGATCATCTGCCAAGAACGCATATGAACAGGTCCCAGTCCGAGAAAAGGATCGAAGGATCCTGTTCATATGGACCTGACCTGTCGTCA